AAGAAACTTCATTTATAGAAAAGGAAGAAAGCACAATACGGCAAAGCCTCTGGGAAGATTGCAATGTCGTGGGTTCCAGGGGTTGGTTTATGTGTAGATTTTTTTTTTAAACTATCCTTTCTGCTTTCAATTGGGGAAAAGATTCTGCTACGTTGAATAAGACAAAGTATTAAAATGAAAGAATGTGCATTGTATTATATGACTTTTTAAAATCTTACTCATCAAACGTAATTAATTTGCCTTCAAGTTTGGGGGCATACAGAACAGTGTATCATAGAGACACTGCTCTGTGGGTAACCCTTGGCAGGGTGCTTCCATAGGCAGGAGAAGGTCCACAGTGCTACAGGTGGCTGTTGTGACCCTCACTGTGGGACAGTCTCTCTTGCTAAGGTGAGTCCTTCAGCATGTCTGTCTTGTCTTCCTCCATGCTGCCACTTCCAATGTCTTAAATCTATGTTAAACGTTGTAGTGTGGCACTAAAAGCAGGGGAGCACTCTCGGTGGGCAGTGGTGACACGAAGGACGTGCTCGGTTCCAGTGTGAGCAACAGTTACATTCCCTTTCCCTACATCCCCCAGTGACTGATTCTGCTGAGGTAGCTGGTACAAAATTATTTACTTTTGTTTCTTTTCTGCTGATTTAATGAGCTGAAATGGGATTACCAAAGGACAAGGGTCTCCCCCACAAGAATTCTCTGTTCCAACATTAATTTATGGAAGAATCTGCTACCTAAATCTCAGCTCTGGTCCATGGGGGACACAAGGAACTCTGATGAGATAATGGCCCTTGTGATCCTTAAGTGAATGTAAAAAAATCAACATCCTGAATTCCCTAGGCTAATTTGCAAATGGACATATTTGAACTGCACTTTAGCAAACTAATCCTCATTTAACATCTTTTTCTTTCATTCATGGTGACCTCTGCTCCCAAGAAGAAATGCTGCAGGTAGGAAAGGGAATTGGTCACTCTGTGTTTGCTTGCATTTCTTTCCTCTCTGTGCTCTCAGAAACAGGAATATAGTTCTTGAACCCAAATTTAACATTAAATAGATACATATAGACCAGGGGAAACCACTTTCGTCTTTCCCTGGTGTTGAGGCTTCGTAAGAGGTGCTGGGGTATTTGTATCAGGGAGCAAAGCTGCATTTATGCTGGTGGAGAAGGATGGGTTTGGCCCAGCCCCAAAGTTCACAACTTTTTTGTATGTGCATGTTACAGTTTTAGGGAACTGTCCCAGAATCAACACTCGCCCAGGAAATACTTTCCCATCCCACCCTAACCTTCCGCTTACTTTTCCTATGGTTGAATTTGCAATATCAAGCCTTTTTGTTAAAAAATAAATGGCCAACTGACAGTGGGTGGGCAATTACGCTTGAATTCTTATATTTTAGGATACAACTGGTATTGCATTCACAAGAGCCCACAAGGGCAGCACCTTGGACAATTCAAGGGGTGTCTGTGAATTTTTATGGGGTTAGGAGGCACACGGTGTATAGAAATGCAGCAATTAATTTCTCAAGTGTCTGTAATGATCCCCAGTAACATAAATTTCTGAGTACATGGAAATATTTTAAGAAATTTCTGTTTCTTTCTGTATTTTGTACACAAAACATGTAGTAAGCTTTTAATACAGTAACAAAAAACAAAATAATTAAAGGTCGTTATTAGTCTGTGTGGCCACTTCAGTCTTAAAGGGACTATGTTCATGTGATGGAAAAAAATGTATGAGATGGTGTGACCCCTTGAGTATTGCTTCCTGGGTGTAGTTAATTCGTTCAAGGCAGAGAGGACACAAAAATCAAGTTTGTGATGGAAATTTCATGAAAAAGAGGCCAACTGCTCCCTCTCTCCCAAGAGGGCTGCAAGAACGTCATTGTGAGGTCTGGGATTTTTTTTTTTTTCCTTTAAGAAAATATTTACTGGTTCTTTTCTACATTCCTTACACAGTCTAAACAACATTGAAGCCAAGTAGAGATGGGTTTGGATTATAAACTTTTTCAGCTTTTTTAGAGTTGAGCTGCAAAACTGCTGATAAAAACAGCTTTTGTTTTTTTTTTTTTTTAAGCTGTTCACTTAGGCAACATTTAAACTAAGGTCATTTTCTCATCATCTTTAAAATTGCTCATGCTAAAATTGTTTAACACCCAAGGTTACCTGTATCTGTTGGGGTTGTGAACACGTATTCTCTTTCTCTTTGCATTTTTGCCAAGTAAAATATATTATTGCCCTCAGCCCTGGGTGTTTGCTGCTTGTCACAATCTCCCTGCACACTGCTCTTCCAGCCCGGCCGGGTTAGCAACAGCATGCTGTTCCTTGAAGGTCCACCTGGTTGCTTTGGTTGAAGATGCTCTGGGGTGTTTGCCCTGGCACTGGGCAGGGCAGGGGACGCTTGTGACAGGGGCCAGTGACAAGAAGGCTGTTGGCAGCCACTAACCTCTTCCCCTGGCACAGGTGTTTGCAGAGCGCCCATCTGCTGGGGCTTGTCACAAAAGCTGGCTGGATCAATGTAAATCACTTAAACCTGGGCCCCTGGTCTTGTTACTAGCAAGGTGCCACTCCTTTAAATGCCGTGATTAATAGCCAGCATCTGTGGGGATATTTTGCCCATCAGTGGCTACAACAAATTGATTTTAGGACAAATCAGAAAATTGAAAGGAGAGTTGGGGAAGCGTTGTGTTTCTGTTAACGCGGCCACAGACTTAAGTGATTTGCAATTGCTCAAATGACCATTTTTTAGCATGCATTAATGCCTTCTGGCATTGCAATGTTCCCATCTCACGCTGGTTGTTCTGACTAACGCTTGGCCAAGGGATGTCCTGAAAGCTTTGTCTCTCCCCCAGCAGCGGTGAGTAGAAGCGGGTCACGCACGTGTGGGAGTGTGCAAGAGGAGGAGGCAGCTCTTGGGGAGGAAGGCTGGGAGGTGGGTTATAAGGGAAGGGGCTGCACAGAGCCCCCAGCCTGGCTGGATGGAGTAGGTTGCCTTGGGAAGCCCTGACCTGGGAAAGCAGGGGCCACACGGGGCTGTTGGGCGATCACACTGGTGACTGCTTCATTGGGTTGGTACTTTTGCAGCCTGGGGCAGAGATATGCCACAGTGTCCCAAGCACATTTTGATTTTGCCTAGCTTTAAGTGCTGCTGGGATACAACCCCCATTATACATGTTTTCTGTTATAGCTGTAGATTGACCCTGTGTTTTCAACATTCGCCTTGAATTTCAGAGGTTGGGCTGGTAGAGTCATGCCAGCAAACCCACTAGTGAAGATTTATACCACACCTCTGTTTTCCTTTGATAATGGATTAAAAAAGATCCCTGAATGGAGTAAACTGTATTGACAAAATGACTTTTTTATTACCTTTTTGGATAGCATAACTGTGGGGGAAGAAAGAATTATACCCTATGTGGCACAGCAGTATCAGCAGAAATCCTGCAGTAAAAAGAAAATAAATCTATATGCTTCATTTTCAAGGTCATGAACAGTCTAAAGCTGCTTTTCTTTTAAGTTGCTGGATGCTGCCTAAAGGTGAGGCTACTTATTGTCTGTGGTAGACCCATGTAGACTCACCAAGCTAGACCTCGTGGCTACATGTATTAGCTCAGCCGTGGTAACCTGGCTGCATGTCTAAAGATTCAGGCTGAGGGTTGAGGAGGGCTTAGGTGAGGGTGGCTGGTGAAGGTACCTGCTACCTGCTGGCCCTTCTCCTGCTCCCTCAACGATCATCGATCAAATCCTGGGCTGCCTCAGCTCACAGACATAGTTTTAAGGCAAAACAGGACTGATGATCCTTGACTGAAAACACCATGTGTGGGCTGTGGCTGGTCAGATGCAGCCTGATGATCATCTGAGGTACCCAGGGCTGAAGGAGAGGGGAGGGGATGGAAGGAAGCACACAAGCAGAACCCTCCTGCCCATCCATCAAAGCCATGAGCCTGGTGTTGTCCGGGAAATGGATTTGCCAGCTCTACCGCTTCAAGGACGCTTTTGTTGTCGCACCTGCTATGGCTACACTAGCAAATGATTCGATGTATACACAAGATTGATGATATTTGAGTATGGTGCTTGTAAGTAAATGAGTACGGTGTAAGGTAAAGTCACTTTGCATGTGTTTCATTGGGTCTGACCCTTCTAAGCTGCCATGTGCCACATTTCAGAACATCAGGGGGCTTAATGTCCCACCGAAATACAGCAGGTGGGTGTGCTGACTGGAAGGGTATCTTGCAGTAAAACTACCTATGGATGTAGCTGTTTGCAATACAGGAAACGGATGTGTCCCTTCGAAAGTGTTCCTTGTTTCTTTAGCTAGGTAAAATGGTAACTTGGGGTTTGACCCTTGTGGAGATTACAAGTTTGATCTAAAACTTTTTTCTTTAAAGCCTGGCAAAACTTGCTGGTGTTAAGCAATGTTCATTGAGCTGAGTTACTGGTTTCTCTTATCGTGCCAGCAGCAAATAAACTTCAACAGAATGTCTTCTGCTACCGTTTATTTCTGGAGAGGACTTTTATGGATAGTGGTGGTTGTTTGTTAAGATTGAGATCACTTTGCTTATAAAGAATTTTCCAAGTCTGAGATGAGGGATAAATCTGTTTATTTTGTTTAGTCTGAGTTGACCTTCTGCAATATAATGAAAGTAAAGGGAGGTCTGATTTTCTTTTTTATTTTTTATGAGTCACCAGGTCTTGTTATAATGTATGGAAAAGTGAAGTTTTCTTAAATGTCACCATTTTATCAGGAGTAACAGTAGCAGGAATAGAACTATTTAGTACTGTTTTTTACTGCCTGGGAAAAAATAAGGTATACCTTATTTAGGATTTGTCCAAACCCAATAAGGTATACCTTAGAGGATTTTTTCAAAACCACTCAAGGAGTTAACCTCATTCCAAGTTTAGCTTTCTTGTTTCTTGAATGGTCATCCTATTTGATGTAACCCGGGCCATGCTACTTTGCTGCTTCTTGTGATTTAAACCTGCCTACTTCCAATACGTTCTTTTTTTCTTATTTTAGCAATTCATCAAAATGAAGAAAACAGCAGTCAAGAAATAAGAGGACTAGAAGAGCTCAAGGATACCTCTGATGCTCAGGTAAATGTGTAAGATTAATGGTGTCTTGGGAACTTTTTCAGATCTACAAGTTGAAGGATCTTCTTTCCGTAGTTCTGGGAAATGGATTTTCTTCAAATTTCTGCACAGGGAGCCCATAGGAAGGAGAAAGTCTGCTGGATCTTGTCTTATATGACTATTTAGAATAAGATTGATGATTACTCTGGGAATTAATCCCATGATGTTGCAATTGGAGCGCATTCTTCAACTATCTCTCTGCTCTTTTTCGATAATACGCATAGCATATACCAGATGTGAAAATAAAATGAGATGTCTTTTAGGAGGCAAGGGCATGTGACATTTTGATTGAATTTTAATCACTGTAAGTAGACATGCAATGAAATGAGGATACTTATTAATCACTCGAGTGTAAGCAACAACCTTTTCTTTTTCCTTCCCTAACTGCCCTCATTTACAACCAAAGCATACTTCTAGACATTGCTCAGAAGAAACTTAGCTGCCTTTAGAGTATTTTATTGTGGAATTGCTTACCCTTTTTAATTCTGTGAATCTTTTTTGATTAATCTCCAGTTCATTCAATCATCCAGTTCAGGCATTCAAACTGTGCAAGTGTAACTATATTGCTCATTATGTTGGTACTGATTATTGCTTTTAATTTAAAATTGCTTTCTCCCAGTCTTGGCTGTTCTTTTTCCTATATTCCTCTGGCAAATCTTATGTTCCCCACCAGTTGCCACGTTTCCTCCTTCCAACGTAAGCAGCTTGCAGTTCCTTTCTCTGGTTTATCTCCTAACACCTTGCCTGCTGAGGAACTGTGTGCGAGAGAGGATTCACACTGGTGTCTGTGGGCAAGCTGGGAAGAAGGGGTACAAGCCACGTAGCCAAATTAGCAGTACCTGTATCTTTCTAAAGGTAGGGGCTATCTTGAGCCCAAGAGGGGTTGTGAGCAGCTCCGGTAGCAGACTTGGGCCATGGTAGACACCTGAAGAGTGCAGGCAGAAGAGTTGGAGACCGTGCAGATATGCCTATTGCATCAGTATCTAACGGGGCTCTTCTAGCTTGCTCTTCAGAGTCATGCTCAAGCAAGATGTTGGGAAATGGCCTGCTCTTTTCTTCATTACACACAGTTTCAAATCTATGTGAAACAAAAAAAGAAAAAGTGTGGTAGAAGCCCTAACTTGTGAAAATTTTGTTACCTGACTTTGGTTCCTGATTCACATCGGTGTGCGGTTGCGGATCAGTCCTCTAGAGCTCAGCTGTGCACTACAGAGTGACAGAAAAGACCCGGGGGAAATACTGACCTCATTGCACAAAAAATCTGGCTTTGTCTTTTCTTTTTTGGGTTTCATGTATGTTCAATTCTACTTGATTGTTGTAGTTATTATTATTTTTTGAAAGTGTTTGTTCGCATTTGTGTTAAAAATGTAAAAGGCTCCGATGTGTGCTCAAAGCTCCTAAGATTACAGTTTACAGCTAGTAAGATTACATGGGCAGATTGTAAAAACCCATAAGAATTTATTATTGGGATATTGCTTCACTCAGCTTTTATTTGGCTGGAAATCAGCTTCTAAAATTTTAGAGTTTGAAATCTATTTAAAATCAAACCATTATTAAGTGGGCAGTTAACAAAAGCATTCAAGTGCCCAACCGGGAGGAGAGCAGGAGGTGCCATAAAAATGCCATCCTGCAAATACAGTTTGGTTTAAGGCTGTGAATGATTTTTTTTCACTTTACTGAGACTGTGCATGTGACAAAGCAAGTCATCTTTCAAGGCAGTGCATATGGTTTGAAGTTTTCAGGTTGATCAAAGGTGAAGCCCATAATAATTATATTGTCTTCACCAGACACAGAAGGAGACAGAGGTGCAGTAGGAAAAACCCAAACCACCCCAAACCTCTGCTGTTACAGCAGAGCTGAAGGGTGTGGTGCCTGCTCTGAACAGCACTCTGCGAGACAGAGGCTTGACTTACATTGGAGTTAGTTGACAGAACTGGTAGAAGTGGTGAAAATATTGAGTGCAGGGATTTTTAAAGTGAGCATTCTGTAAAAAATGTAAATAAAGTAAATAAAAAATTCCCAGTCTGCTTAGGGAGGTCTTAATTCACCTCCGTGTCACTGCTAGCGTATTCATTTATGGCCTTTGCAGAGGGAGTATGTTCCAATGGATGATCTGAAACAGAAAATGTGTTGTCAGCATCTTTGTTTTTCCAACCTTGGTAGTGACTAATTTACTTTCCTTCCCATTAAGCTTTTTTATTTAATTTCAAATATTGCATAAACACCTTTAATTATAGTAATTTTGGGCCATGAGTGGTAGTAAAGCTTACTATAAAGCTCCTACATTCTTTTGTCATTCATTAAATTAAAGCCAGTTAAAATGCGCAACTTTATGATTTTCATCTTCACATAAGTTAGTACTTGCATCTCTGTTGGTGTACGTGAATTAGGAGACTAAGCACAAGCACCTGGGCATGCAGGATTTTGGAGGGTGTGTGCCTGCACAAAATACAAATCAAAATTACACTTTGCAAGTAGGGCAACTTGCCTTTACTCTTTTGTCTAACAGCTTCAAAGGTATTGCTTGAAAATTAAATTTATATTGACAAGTGAAAACGACCAGCATCTATCACCATCTTCCCAAACAGTTTTCAGAAGCCGTCATCAATTAATTAATTAGTTGACCTGGATGCTTTCTTGTAAGCATTTAGCAGAAAGATTTATACTGGAAAGTCAGCATAATTGAAGAAATCAGAATTAAAAGTGATTCATATTTTTCTTCCTAATTATTAAAAACCATGTTTAGCCTTTTGTATTTCAAGTGCATTCTTTACTCCTAGAGCCAAGCATGTACAATTAACTTAATAATACCTTAGCCTTCCCAGAAGTTTTTTAGTTGACCTTTTGTCCTCTTGAAATCCAATAAAGTAAATATATTTTTCACATTCTCTGCAGTTTCTTTAAATTAAAGAATAGTTGGGGGAGAAGGGGACATGTATATAAATGTATCTTAAAATATAAGATTTCTTTTTTGTAGTTATTTGAAACAGGACAATATGATTCTTTAATGAAACTGCCAATTTGAATACAGACCATATTTGTGGCAGGGCTAATGGGCTTGTGTCTAGAGTTACTTCTTCCCTGGGGTGCTCGTCCATGCAGAAAGTGATAATATACTCTGTCTGAACACAGGCAGAAGGCAAGGGGTGAACGAGAGTGAGGCCCATGTGTTCAAAAAGTTGCCTTTCTCTGGGACGTTTCTTCCACTCAAACATACTGAAGCCAACTGTCACCCCAAAACTGAAGTCCCCCTTCCTCATCTTAACCGAAGTGGTTTTAACCATTGGGCTTTACTTCATACGCTGAAGATCAATGCGTATTTGTTCAGCAGAGTGAACACTGCATTTCTGTCGATGTCCATCTGACATTTGAAATACAGGAACTCGTAACCATCTCTGCCACTTGTAGGTCATGGCCTGACTTGTCTGGGTGCAACATGAAGGTGTGAAATACTGCCTCCACAGTATTAAGATCCCAGATCCATCAAGACAGTAAATCTCTATATTCCCAAAGCCCTAATAGGCTATAATGCTTTGAGTTGTCCTTAACCTACACGCCTGGGGGGATTAGGGTGCACAGATGTCATACTCTGTGCTAGAAGAATCCCAAAGCCATGGAATAAGCAGGTTTGGTTCTAGCTGATGTCCCCAAGCCATCAACGTGTTGTGAAGTGCAGACATTAGGGTGCACAGATGTTATACTCTGTGCTAGAAGCCATGGAATAAGCAGGTTTGGTTCTAGCTGATGTCCCCAAGCCATCAACGTGTTGTGAAGTGCAGACATCGGACCTCAACAAGTCTGTGATGATCGCCTAGGTTTCCTGTGTAAACTACTGGAGAAAAAGGAGACTTTTAGGAAACAACTCATCTGACCATTTTTAAATGTCTACTGTTGAGTAAAAAAATTTTCTCTTCTAAAAACCTTTTTTCTCTATTGATTGAGTCTGGACAACTAGTTCAGTATATTCTTCCACATTTGATAAAATCAGTCTTACTCCTGATCTGCAGGTGATAGCGGTGTGTCAGAACTGGTTCATAAATCCATGTCCTGGATTTAGAAGATAAGGAAGTAATTTCCTAGAAAATATAAGGACCTTCAGGTTAGGCACTGCAATTCCTTATTTTCTCGGCAGATTTCTGACCTTCAAACCAGTGTGTAGGTTCCTTATGTGGGAAGCTGGGCTCCTCAGGAGAATGGGGACAAAGCACAGGCTGTATCTGAAATTCTTGACTTCTCCAGAGCACAAGTGCCTGATGCAGGTTGTGAGGAGATGCCTTCACCCAGACTGGAGAAATGTAGGCATATAAAAATCTCTTTCAAGTAATTTGGTAAGGATGACTCTTTGGACTTGGTCATGGAGCCTGATTTTTTCCATCAGCATTAAAGCACTTGTTTGGAAGGTGGATTTGTTTTCCTCCTCAGCTGAAGAAACCTTAACTCTCATCTCCATCTTCCTTGGAGAAACCAGGGGACTCTAGGATGGTTTGGGTGGGCACTCTCACACCTTCTCCTGTCATGGGCAGGAGTTTCTTAAGGGCAAAGGATTGATGGTTAGTGGTCATAGTATCCCTGGCTTTTGATCCTGACTCGTAAGAAGCTTTATGAATTTTGGAGTACATACTGGTTCAGTAAAGCTCAGGATGAATAGAAGAAGGAAAAGGATGAAAGAACTGGAGAAAAAAAGTTTATTTGCAAATTGCCTTTTAAGTCATAGAGCAATAGCATAGCCATGCCACATGCCTGGCCCTCCCCTGGGATGTGCTGTTCTCATCAGGAAACATCTGGGCAAATAAAAACCACGGGGTGTCACCGAGCCAGGTCTCAGTTAGGCAAAGACTGTAGCCATGACCAAATGATGGACAGTGGTACCAGCCACTGACTTTGCAGGGAGCAATTTAGCCCTCATCAGCTAACTTTGTGATGGGTCTGGTGTGCCTGAGTGCAAGCAAGAATCCGTCTTTTTATATATATATATATATATGTATATATATATGTATATGGCATTTTTTATGAAACAACCAACGCTGACTGTTTTGACGCAAGGCTATCAGCATAGCTTGAATAACTGGCAGAACACGAGCCAAAAAAAATAGTCCTAACATAGTTTTTAAAGCAAATCCCACTTTCTTCCCTAAACAAAATCAGGAGATATTGATTTGTTATTTCCAGAATAAATAAACGCGACGCAACTGCCTTTTAACTCTTGAGGCTGGCGTATGTGAAAAATGCGGAGGGAGTTGCAGGCTGTTATTTTTAGGAGCGCCTTGTGTTGCGCTTCATTCTTTTTCCAGGGCTGCTCCTGGCTAACTTTCCCATGAGTTTTTTAACCTCTTGCTCTTGTTCTCTTATGTAACAGGAAACAGGCTGACAGGAACAAATAAAACACAGCCTATCTGATAGCCACACTCGGAGGAGCGGTTCATTTAGTTAGCCCTGCCTTCGTGCCTCCGAAGTAGCTACGTTTGGAGAGTCAGATGTGCCTCAGCTCCTCTCCGGTTGTTTCCCAGGAAGCAGCAACTCATTTGCGTTCAGCCAGCGGTGCCCAAGCACAGCAAATATGAGAAATCAGATGCGTTTCTTTTAAGGTTGAAATTTGCGGCGGTGTCATGTCCTGGGATTGCGGATTTAAGTATCTGTTTGCTCTTTCTCCCACCCTTAAGGCAGGGGTTTTGTGCAAACTCCAGGGGAGAGATGACATGGGACGGATCGAGCTGGTCCAGAAGCTGGCGAGAGAAAACTGCCAGTTTTTGCAGGCGGACAGAAAACCGCTGGAGAAGGCAGAACAAGTAAGTCATTTCTTGTTTGGGTTTTTTTGTTTCTTTCTGGTAGGGGAGGGAGATTTAGGTCACAAAACTGAAATAGCAAAGCTGATGGTCAGAATCCAGGGCACACATTAGTCATGGAGCTGTAGCTGCTCTCCTCTGGCATTTACATTTCTCCGAAGTGCGTTCAGTTCAATAATTGTCAACACACTTAAATTATGATGCTGTCATTAACTGTCAGTTACTGTTATTAATATCTTATGCACATAGGAAATAGCAGATGTTTTCAGGGGGCTTTCTACCAAATTGTTTTTGGTGATTATGACATATTTGGGGTTTAGTGCGTATTTAAATAATCTGTAAGGTATATGAGTGCTTAAAGTACTTTAAACTGTCTTAAAGAAAATTACTTTGCTGCTGGTACATTTGAAAGCAAGCATTGGCTAGAGCTTTTCAGTGTGAATTAGAAAGAATAGTCTGGGTAGAGAATTCTGCAGTTTCTTTAAAAAACATGTTTTCAACCAAAAGTTACACTGAGGAAAGGAGCATTCTGTTTGTTGCTTCTGAAAGCACTTATTCAGATGTTAATAACTGGATTGAAAATGCACTGAAACTTGACTGCTCTGCTTATGGCACAATGTATCCTAATTCTGTTCTGGTAAAGATTTCTATTCTGATTGCATATTCATCTAAAGGTTCCCAGATAACAACTGCAGGAAACAACAAAAAACCCACCTAGTCCTCATGTGTCTTGCTATAATGTATATGTAATTTATTCCATTTTCTGCTCACTGGACAGTAGAAAAAAGACATGTGCTGTAGAAAAGAAATACTTTTCAGCTCATCTGCGAGCTCATTTCTACTGAAGTAAGGCTGCATAAAGGAAAAAAGAAAGATGAAATCTTATTTCAGAGCTTCATGCTGCTCTCTTCGGCAGCATATAAAATCTAGTCTGGTGTAGTTAAATATTTAATTGTATCGCTAGGTGTGCAAGAGGGAGGAGGGTAATTAGCCAGGCTCAAATCCCTGAGATTGAATTGTTCCTCAGCAGATCCACTAGCCGTGGACATCTGGCAGAATTTCCATATATCTTTAAACCGTATCAGCAAAGCACAATTAAAAGTTTAGATGCTTAAGTAAAGAAGATTTTAAGCTAGGGAAGGTTTCTAATTGTGTTTCAGGATTTGGAAGCAAGATTACAGATGCTGTGGGCATAGGGGGAGAGGGGAATGCTGGGACTGATACTCCAAAAATTCAGTGGATGTTTTTTGCTGCTTGCTCCGGTCATTGCAGAGGGTGATGTGGTGTCAGCTGCAGCTCTGTAGCTGCGCAGATTACAGCACAGTTCCAAAAATGGAAAGGAAAGAAGTGCTCAGCTTTTCTTCTCCTTTGAAAAGTACGGTACTTAGCAATTGCTGCTATTTAGGAGCTGAGTGACTTCAGTTTAGCGGCAGCTGGAGCAGGCTGCCTGTATCCATGCTCAGGGGTGTAACACAGCAGTTACTGCTCTGGGGCAAAGATGTGCCTTTAACCCTAGGAGGTGACAGGAAAGACAAAAATCACCTGAGAGACGCCCAGGATGTTCTTCTTGTGCCCTTTATTTCTGGGTGGGGACAGTCTTACAGCCAGGGCTGACAATAACAAGTGACGGTGTGCTCCCCCCACCCTTTTCTGCACGTTGCTGGTGGATATAAGGTGGGGGGTGACGTGGCTTTTTCCTAGGGTCCAGACAGCCTGTGCCCAGATGTGAGTGAACCTGGTGATCCTGGGTGCGGGTGCATTTGATAAGCCCCCAACCAGCCCTTGATTTCCTCGGGAATAGTCACCCAGAAGGCATTACTGGGACAAGGTCTCTCCTAGGGTTCTCAGTTTAGCTGACTCAGTTAATTGACTTTCGCTGGAAAAACTCCATGCGTCGCTGGGGTGGGGACGGTGGGTTGCCTACGTTCAGGAAGCTGTGAGCTTCCATCCCTTCCTCTCCCTCCCTTCCTCCGGCGCGGTCCCAGGGCTGCTCTGGCACAGATGCAGGTGGCAGGATTTGGCCGGCCGGGCAGAGTTCGCTGCTCCGGGCAGCTGTTCCCTCTCTTTCTCCAAGGAGAAAAGCAGAAGACTGGATTGCAGTAAGCACCGCTCGGATGGGGGCTTTCAGACCTTCCCGTTTCATCCTGCTGCTACAGAAGTGATGGCAGATTCATTGCCATCGGCTTACTGCCCGGTCCCTTCTGCTCCTCCTAAACGTCCGAGGAACAACATGTTCAGGGTGTGGTGTTCTTAACAAAATGATGCGTGCAGCATGCCAGTCTGTCTTTATTTATTTATTTCTTTATTTTTAAAAGCTTAGCTTACTCTTACATTACTGTCTTAGAAACAGAGAGTGATGGGCACTCAATGTAGGGAATAAAACGGAGCAGCTCTGTCTGTTCTCTACAACTACCTGAAAGGAGGGGGTAGAGAGGGGGGGGGTCGGTCTCTTCTCCCAAGTTACAGATGATAGGACAAGGGGGGATGGCTTCAAGTTGCGCCAGGGTAGGTTTAGACTGGACATTAGGAAACAATTCTTCACAGAGAGAGTGGTCGGGCATTGGAATAGGCTGCCCAGGGAGGGGGTTGAGTCACCATCCCTGGCTGTGTTTTAGAAGCGTTTTGATGTGGTGTTGGGGGATATGGTGTAGGGGAGAACTTTAGAGTAGGGTAGATGGTTGGACTCGATGATCCCGAGGGTCTCTTCCAGCCTAGATGATTCTGTGATTCTCCACAGAACCCTCATTTCTCAGTAGGTATCTCAATAGGGATGGCCATTGGTCCATAAATGAGACGCCTGGACACCCTTCTGGTCTCCTCTCCCCGCACTTGGAGACCCAGCTAGCCAAGCTGGCCTCCTGGTAGCCCACCTGGAAACAGAAATGCTGCTGGTTTGCAGGGCTTTCAGGGTTTTCAGTCAGTCTGGGGCGGTGTCACTGTTTGAAGCTTTGTCACCCGCCTGCAAGTAAAGCTGCTCCTTCCAAGATGGCCAATGGGGAGTTTTTGCCCAATGGGAATTTTTGCCCAAAGCAGAGTTCTGGTTTGTTCTCCTCTAGGAATACAAAAAACCCCACAAAAAACCAACCCCACAGCTTGAACAGAGGGTTGGAATTGTGCATATGCATAATTCCTCTCCACATGTACTGTGTCCCACACACGTAATGGAAAATGGAGCTGGGACTCCTCTGGTGCTGCCCACTGTGTTTCTACAGCAGGTTGCTTCAGACCAGTACAACCTCACACGGCTTTCCAGCATTAACAGTAAACACAAAAGTAGTATGATTGGGCTTTGCTGATTCTTGTGCTTTCCTTTGAAGAAGGAAGAGGACTCAGCCTATTTGAAGAATTTGGTACCCAGTGACCCCAGTAACTTTTTTATTGTACAGCGAATGAGGTGTGGGGCATGATGAGGAGCTCTGAGGAGGACTGGGGGACTCATATCATTCAAATAAATAATCACCATGTTCATCTGAGTTTGAGGACAGAACTTAGTGACTCACGTAGGAAAGGTAGACAACATGTGGATGCACAAGAGATTGGTCTTTCAGAGGTTTTCAGGCAGATAAAGTACCTAAGGTATTCTTCAAAGATTGAAGTCTGTGGCACACAATGGGCAGGTGAAACATGGATTGGTTTGGGTCAGAAGCAGCAAATGGTCTGGGTGAGGGAAAACATGTGACAGCTGGGTGGTTCACTGAAGGAAAGCTGGGTTTGGAGCTATGGTGGGATAGAAAAAGGGTTCCTTCAGTGTGGATGCGTTCTGGAGGGTATAAAATTGGGTTGTGTGTATATGATGATTACTTTTTTATTTTATACTTTATGTACCCAAGTCAGAAATTCCATACTGCTTTTTTTTCAGGTTTCTGGTAGAAAATTTTAAAAGTTTTGTGTTTAAACTCTATTATACGTGAGCAACCTTCTTGCTTTTGGCTCTGCGAGCTTCATGTGACCAGGTTAGGCTGGTATATTGGAGCTAGTGTTCTTCTGTAGCACATGGTGCCAGCTTCCTCTCAGGTGAATATAATGTTTGCAAAGTGCGGTGTTCTTCTGTAGTACACGGTGCCAGCTTCTCTCAGGTGAATATAATGTTTGCAAAGTGCTCTAACTAATGGTGCCCACAGACTTGTAGAGGAAAACAAAAAAAACCAGAAAAACCCAAAGTTATAGTGATTTGTTTTTTCTCCATTCCCACTTGTGTTAGAATAAAGTTCTTAAGGCATTGTACCTACCATATGTGGTAGGTTTCCTAAAACTTCAATTTTGCTTATAAGTAGAAAGTAAATACTAGTAAATAATCTTCTAAGTAGGCAGATAAGCTTCTTCTCTGTGCTGCTGCATTGCTACGAGACTCAATGTATTGGTAAATAAATAAAATGAAATGGTTGCTCTAACTAATGGTGCCCACAGACTTGTAGAGGAAAACAAAAAAAACCAGAAAAACCCAAAGTTATAGTGATTTGTTTTTTCTCCATTCTGACTCATGTTAGAATAAAGTTCTTAATTAAGGCATTGAACCTACCATATGTATTAGGTTTCCTAAAACTTCAATTTTGCTTATACCACTTGTGTTAGAATAAAGTTCTTAAGGCATTGTACCTACCATATGTGGTAGGTTTCCTAAAACTTCAATTTTGCTTATAAGTAGAAAGTAAATACTAGTAAATAATCTTCTAAGTAGGCAGATAAGCTTCTTCTCTGTGCTGCTGCATTGCTACGAGACTCAATGTATTGGTAAATAAATAAAATGAAATGGTTGTCTAAAATGTGCAGAAATTATTTTAATATAAAATGTGGGCTAGAGTAAAAATAGCTATGCAAACTTGCAGTTCTAATTTTATTATCACATGCAAATCACACTCAAAAGCCTAGGAAAATGTAAAACTGGATATTTGTATGTCTATGTTATTTAAATATTTCATTTCCTTAAAACAATTACTTTGACAGAAAATAGATTAAAAATCCATATTGAAATATTCAGCGATAAAATGAGCCTACTTTTTTGA